ACCTAGGGCGGAGGCCGAGTCCGGGCAGGAGTCTGCCGAGCCGGAGGGAGGCGCATCTGGCGCTTCGGTACCAGCGGCGGCCGGGGGCTTGAGCTGTTGGAGAAGCGCAGTGGGAGCTGGGAAGAGCCAGCTCGTCTGGAGGGCGGACCCCAGCGTCCAGGAGCCCAGCCTCAGGCACAGCAAGGGGCGAAGCCACGCGTCTTTTCGGACGGCCAATTTCACGCGCCAGTTTGAGATTCCAGGCATCCCAGTAAGCACCAGCACCGAGGCGCGGGAATCAGAAGCGCGGAGCCAAATCCCCTGCGCCCAGGTCACCTCCCAGACCTATCCTTGCAGGGATCAGGGCTTCAGGGCTCACCAACCCAAACGCCAGGTCAGACCGCTAGCCTGCAGGAGCGCGAGCCCCACCCTAAGGAGGGAGCGCCGCCGGGAACTGGGAAGCCGGTGCAGCGTGCGCGAGGTTGGGTCGTGGGCGCCGTCCTAGTGGCGGGGAGCGCACAGCCAAGAGGACATGAGATCGGAGAAATCCCTTACGCTGGCGGCGCCGGGGGAGGTCCGTGGGCCGGAGGGGGAGCAACAGGATGCCGGAGACTTCCCGGAGGCCGCTGGCGGCGGGGGCTGCTGTAGTAGCGAGCGGCTGGTGATCAATATCTCCGGGCTGCGCTTTGAGACACAGCTGCGCACCCTGTCGCTGTTTCCTGACACACTGCTTGGGGACCCTGGCCGCCGAGTCCGCTTCTTTGACCCACTGAGAAATGAATACTTCTTCGACCGCAACCGGCCCAGCTTCGATGCCATCCTGTACTACTACCAGTCGGGGGGCCGCCTGCGGAGGCCAGTCAACGTGCCCCTCGACATCTTCATGGAGGAGATTCGCTTCTATCAACTGGGGGATGAAGCCTTGGCGGCCTTCCGGGAGGATGAGGGCTGTCTGCCCGAAGGTGGAGAGGACGAGAAGCCGCTACCCTCCCAGCCCTTCCAGCGCCAGGTTTGGCTTCTTTTTGAGTATCCTGAGAGCTCCGGGCCCGCCAGGGGCATCGCTATTGTCTCCGTGTTGGTCATTCTCATCTCCATCGTCATCTTTTGCCTGGAGACCTTGCCCCAGTTTCGTGCAGATGGTCGCAGTGGAAGCAATGATGGTGGTGTGAGCCGAG